AAAAAGAAAAAAGCTGGAAGTGGTGCTGTGACTCAAGTGGTAGAGCGCTAGCCTTGAGCTGAAGAGCTGAGGGACAGCGCCCAGGCCCAGAGTTCAAGCCCCACAACCGGACCCCCCACAAAAAAATAGTTTGTGTAATCCCTGTAATTACTTATTCCTTGAGTGTTTATTAAAATTTACTCTGAAAAAACAATCCCAGCCTATGTTTTCCTTCGTGGGAAGATTTTCAAATTACTGATTTGAATTTCTTAAATATCTTTAGGATAGTTTTATCTCTCTATGTACTATTATACATTTGTCTTATTCAATTTAACAGAACACTTACATTTCACGTAATTTTTCAAGTTTATTGGTGTAACATTCTTCCTGATTTCCTCAGTGTGTTTATAATGTTCTCCAATTATTGTCTGCAATGTGATGATTTGTGTCTCTTCTCTTTACTAATATAATTAGGTATTTAAAACAACAACCTTTGGCCTTTTGGTATTGTGCATTTCTTTCTTATTTGGTTAATTTGTGGCCTTATTTTTATTATATCCTTCTATGTTCTTCCCTTCTCCTGCCAGAGTCTTTAGTTCCTGGGGAGAATATTTAGCTCACTAACTCTCACTTTCCTCTTCTAGACAATGTCTCACTATGCAGCTGCATCTGGAGTCAAACTTGTGGCTCTCCTGCCTGTGATCTTCAAGTGCAGGTATTATAGTCAGGTGCCATCTTGCCTGGCCAAAGCTCCTATGTCTTTTTGTGTGTAGTGCTGGAAATTGCACCCAGGGCTTCATGCATGTTAGGCAAGTACTTTATCACTGATCAATATCTCTAGCACCCATATTTGTCTTTTTTACTCTTTCAGTTACTAGGAGTGACATGGTAAAATCTCCCGCCGTCACCGTAGGTTATTGTTCCTTGCACTTCCATCAGCTTTCCTTTATCTATTTGAGGATATATTATTTATTGCATATTCATTTGGAGTTATTGTCACTTCTTGTTATTGTCTTTCTTTTTAGTCGTAGTTTATTTTTGGCCTTGGAATTTCTTTTTAAGATTTTTCTGGTACATCTTTTCTTGCCAGTTTATTTCTGTCTTCTATATCCTTAAGTCTGTATGTTTATCATCACAACCCTGGTTTAATGGGGTTTGTCTAGTCTTTAATCTCAAATATTTACCTTTGTTCATTTCTTGTAGTACTTATGTACTTATTTATTTCAACAACTTATTTTTAGTTACTTCCTAAATCATTACTTAACTGTGTATACCTCATTTTTTCCTCAACTCTAACATGTGAATTAATAGTTATCTACTTTAAAGATTTTGTAAGAATGTTTTTATAGGTGAGAAAAAGGCTGATAAAGTATCCTATAAGGAAGGAATATAAGCTGCATTAAAACATGTTGGCTTTATAGTTATAGCAATACATAATAAGGAAAATGAATATAATAATCTTAGAGCAATGTCTAACACATAGGGGTATATTAATTTTAAGCTTTACTGTGATCATTATTAATATTATTATGGTCACAATTTTATTTGTTGTACCATTTCGTGTGTGTGTGTGTGTGTGTGTGTGTGTGGTGTTACTTAGGCTTGAACCCAGGGCTTTATACCTGCTAGACAAGTGCTCCACTGCTGAGCTACACCTCCTGCCTTCTATTTTTTTCCTAGTTCTTTTTTTCTTTCCATTTAAAAGAAATGGAAACTTTCATAATTAAAGCACCAAATCCTAAATCTGCCAAAAATTGTTTTCTCTTCTCCCAGAGCCATTGAGACTGTGATCAAAGCACCTTAAACTCTTTCCTCCCACTCTTTCCTCACCAACGTTTATTTTTACTATATCTGTAAACTTCATGTTTTAATTCCATTATTTAATATTCAATGTTATGTATTTCCATTATCACTATCACTCATTGTAAATGCTTGCTTAGAGTGAATTACATATGAACTGTTAATTTGTTCTTTCTTTGCATCTCTGACATCTATCAATTTTCTTCTGTTTATAGACAGAGACAATTCTTTTGAATTCCCCTTAGTGGAATTTGAGTGATAAATTCTGTTTATAAAAAATGTCATTATTGGGGCTGGGAAGGTGGCTCAGTGGTAGAGCGCTTGCCTTGCATGCAAGAGGGTCTGGGTTCGATTCCTCAGCACCACATAAGCAAAAATTAAAAAAAGCCGGAAGTGGCGCTGTGGCTCAAGAGGTAGAGCACTAGCCTTGAGCTGAAGAGCTGAGGGACAGCACCCAGGCCCAGAGTTCAGGCCCCACAACCAGACCCCCCCCCGAAAAATGTGTCATTATCTTGCCTATTAGAAAGTATCATTCTGATCCAGTACATGATCAGATATTCCACTAACTTCAGACCCCATTGTGGCTGTAAGAAGTCAGCTGTCAAATGGCCACTTCTTTGAAGGTCATTGGCTTGATTTTCTAGCTCCTTTAAAGGGCTTCCCTTTTCTGGCCTTCTGAAACTGTTGTGATGTGTCAGTCATATGTCTTAAATGCTATTCTGCTTACAATTTGTTGTGCCCTTATTAGTTCTCAGAAGTTCTCAGTCATTGTTTTCTCAAATGCTTCCTCTTCTCTAATATCTTATCCTTGCCTCCAGGAACTCTTGTTAGATACAGAGAAAAGTCTCTCCCATGGCTGCTTAAGTCTCTTCCCTAATTTTCTTATCTTTCTGGGCTGCATCTTTTATTAAACTCTCTAGTTCTATCTCCCATTCACTAGTTCTTCCTTGAGTTGGGCTCAATTTGCTCTTCAACCTAATTGCTAAATGTTTAATTTCAATCCTTTATTCCATTATTCTGTTTAACGCATGTGATATTCTAACCCATTTTAATCATCTTTATGTCTCCTATCAACCCTATGTATTTTATAGTGTGTCTTGTAAGTTTATTATCTGATTCTGTTTCAGGCCGGCACTTACTGATTTTCTTTGGCTCTCATGCATGATGCATTGTTTCCTTGTCTATTTAATGACTTTGTTTTAATCTCTGAATTGTTCATTTTTCTTATGCAAACACTTAATTTGGAGTTAAAGCAAGTTTTTCTGGAAAGGATGCTTTTGCTTCTGGTACATCTGTATAAGAGGTGCTACTTGTCTCAGACCACTCTAAAACTGATCAACAGCTTGAGGTTTAAATATTCAGCCAACGCCATTCAATTTCAAGTTCATAGAGGGCAACCTAGGGTTAAAATCAAAGGGCAGAGACAGGGTGCTTTCCAGACAGGCAGGAAGGGAATTGTGTTTTACTTAAGGTCTAAGCATTTGTTTTCCAAATCAGGGGAGAACTGTTCCTTACTGGATTCTCCTCCAGGGGGGCCTTGCGCCCACACCTGACCTGCTGAATGTCTGCTGGGGCCTGAGTGCTTCTATGTCCACCTGGGTGGGGAGGAGAGAGAGGCTCATGTCCTGGAGGGGGGGGTGCTCCTCTTGAGGTGGAGGCAGCCAGAGCCAAGCCAGGGTTCCAGAGGCTCTGGGCGGGGCCGGGGAGGCCAGCACAGTAGTGCACATGTTGGGGGGCTGACCTGGAGCCCTGGTCATCTCAGGGTCAGGCAGCACTGGTCAGCCTGCTGGTTACAGATGGGCCCACACATGGACGCCTCACCTGGAAGGGTGTGGGCTGGGTGGGGACAGCGCTGGGCCTCCCAAGCAGACAGACTCAACCATGCGGAGAAGGGCAAGGCAGGTGCTTTATTGAAGAACTCGGCAACGTAGACACACAGGCCCGGCATTCGGAACCCAGCCAGGCACCCACAACCTCCCAGCCCCTACCTGGGCTCCCCACCCATGTCCTCTGGAAATGAGCCAGTTTGGGGCTCCTTGTGGGCCAAGGGTGGAGGGCTAGGCCTCCCAGGCAGCACCCACTTTGGCTGCCTTGCCATTTCTTCCTGCAGCTGAAGGAGGAAGCAGAGCAGCGAAGACCCTCGAGGGGCTGAACGCAGCCAGTGGGACTCAAGAGACCGCATCTGGTGTGCTGGTCAGCTGCAGCGGGCTGGGGTGGGGGGCGGGGGGCCAGGGGTAGGGGTGAGGGCCCCGTGGGCTCCTGTGTGGCCCAGCAGACATGCTGGGAGCGAGGAGAGGCGGGGTGCAGCAGGAGGGCGCAGCCACGGGACCTCTCCCAGCATGGGCGGAGGGGTCAGCAGCGTTCTTCCCCCGCGGGGTCAGGGGCTCCGTGGAGTCAGGCCTGGGACTCCAGGGCGCGCACGTGCACGCTGGGCAGGCAGGACCAGGACGGTGGGAGCTCCTTGCTTTTGCTGTCCTCGTGGAACCGGATATGGAGGAAGAAGTCGCCTGCGTAGAGGAAGAGGAGGGCCCCGAGGCAGGCTGACTGGCCCGAGGGCTGCACCTGAGGTGAGAGGAAGAAGAGCAATCAGCGGGGCGGGAACACCAGCCCCTAGACCACCGGGAGGTGGCTAAGCCCATGTGCACGTCACTGGGGTTGAAGACCGGGCTACTGGGCCCCTCCAAAGCATCTTTGCTGAGCTGCTCTGGGCAAGCTGTACCTCTCTGAGCCTTAGTTATCTTTTAATGCCATACTGGGACTTGAACTCAGGGTCCGGGCACTCTCCCTTGGCTTTTTGCTTAAGGCTAGTGCTCTACTACGTTAGCCAAAAGCCCACTTTTGGCTTTTGGGTGGTTATTTGGAGATAAAGAGTCCCACAGACTTTTTTGCCATGGCTGGCTTCGATCCTCGATCTTCAGACCTCAGGAGAGCGGGCATGAGGCACCAGCATCAGGCTTCATTTATCTTTCAAAGGAGCTAGTGCTTCATCCCCTCTCTCAAGCATCCGTGGGTCGAGGCCGCCGTGAGCAAAGGCTGGGGGCGGGCGGGTGGGGTGTGAGCCGAGGCTGGGATCTAGCACGGCAGGGGTGGGCGTGCCAGGGACAGGGGCACAAATCCGAGTGCTAGGACATGCCAGTCCGCCTGGGCAAAGCGTTCCTCACAGCCAAGACCAACCTACACCCTGCCACATACCGCATCCAGATAGAAGGTGCTGGAACCCACGAAGGAGATGAGGTCCTGTAGGTCGTAGTTGTGCACGCCGTTCTGGTGGTCCTGGAAGGGGACCACGGTGAGGGCGAAGGGCCCCACGCTGCGTGGGCTCCTGTTGGTGAGCCGCACCTCCAGGCTCACAGGGTCGCCCACGGGACAGGCCGCCGCCACCTCGCAGCCACACGGCTGCCCTCCGACCAGCACGTCTGCAAGGAAGACGGGCGGTCAGGGCTGGCCCCGCTCCCCGCCCGGGGGCCAGCGGAGCTAGGGGGTCTGTGCCGGCCCGGAGGGGCCGCCTGAGGTGTAACTCAAGTGAATTAAAAGCAGATGAAAGGGCCCTGGACGGCCATGGGCCGTCTTTCCCCTCCCGCCCTGCCCGGGGCCATTCGGTTAGTCCAAGTCCTGGACTTAATGTTGTCCGGCCCAGACTTCCTGACCGATCTCGGTGGCGCTTCTGCTGCGGCAGCTGCACATAACAGGCGTGAAGAGAAGCTGGGGGAGGCAAAACCTTGGAGCCGCCTGGGTAGAGCCAGGGAGAAGGGGCGCGGGGCGCGTCGGGCCCGCGGGAGGCGCCCCACGGGGCTGGCGAGGCGAGCGTGCGGGCAGCAGTCACTGAGGTGGCTAATTAGCTCATAAAGCAGAAGCCTCCTCCCGCGGCGCTCCCACCCGCGTGTGCGTGATCACCCGCACATCGCAAAGCCTCTCCGGGGTAAATAATTTACTTTTACTACTTTTCATTAAAGATTACAGGGAATTCAATTAAAACGAAGGCAGCACTGCAGCTGGAGAGGAGGCGGGGTGGCCGCGGCTCTCTCTTTCACAGGCTCTCCAGCTTGTCCAGGCCCCGGGGGTCTGGGAGGCTGGAGGTGAGCACCTGGGCATGGCCTGGCTGTGTCCTTGTGCCCTTGAGGCTGGGGCCGCCCTGGGCCAACATCTGGATGCATAGACTAGCGCAGACTCATGCGGGGCCAGCAGTCCTGTGGCCAGAATTCACTCAGTCTGGGGCCCAGGATGCTCTTCCAGGAGGCGGAGCTCCAGCCTCAGCCTGGGCCAATGGGGGGGGGGGGTCAGGCGCCCGGCAGGGACTGCGCTCAGCTGCCCGCCAGCGACCTGACTCCTGCAGGCCCTGGGTGCCACTCAGGACAGCTCCGATGCACTGATCAAGACGCACTGTATTCATAGGCTGACTTGTTGAATGGACATTCCTTTGTACAACTACCTAAAGGTCATGAAAATACATTCTTTTACATGAAAGTAAAAGCTCTGAGTTGATGCCAGCCAAACTCTGTGGCTCTTGGTACACCCTGACCCGAGGTGCCCAGGAGGCAGCTGCATCGTGGCTGTTTTTAGGGCAGCTGAGCTGCCAGCAGCTGGGCACAGACCTGCCCAGAGGCTGGGCCCCCGGTCAGCAGCAGGCACAGAAGACAGGCCTGCCTGAAGCTGGGCCCCGGGGCCCAGTGGCTGGGGCTGCTTGGTGAAGGAACGCTGGGCCTGCTGCAGAGCCCCAGGAAGCCCCGGGAAGCTCTGCCACATGCTGCAGGGACAGAGCTTCCCTCTGGGGTCAGTGGGGCTGAGGGCAGCTGTGCGAAGAGGAGACAAGGCTGTGGGTAGAGCGCGGCCAGAGCCAGCCTGGAGCTGCCCGGTGCCTGCCGGGTGGTGTGCAGCCAGTGCGTGACCCCTCTGGGCTGAGGTTTACAAGGCCTTGATCTAAGAGTCCAACAAGTCACCCAGCTGCATGTGTCAATGCCAAGTTCACAGGGCAGCGCAGGTTAAGGCTTCAGCGGCATCCCGCATCCTCCTGCTCCCATCATGCATCAGGCCACTCTGCTTTAAAGAGACGGAGGCTGAGCACTCCCTGCGCACAGGCCCTGCACAGCACGCATCCACCTGGCCCTGGGCTGGGCTCCTGTGACCCAGCTCTGCGCCTCCAGGCCCGGTCCACAACTGCCCTCTGCAAGACCGTCCTTGATCATCCCAAGAGGAGGCACCGACCTCAGAGGCTGGCAGAGCATTCCCCAAGCCATGCTGTCTGGACTGCAGAACGTAGAGAAGAAAAATGACTCTCCACTCCTGTCTGTCCCCTAAGTAGCCCCTTCTGTACCGCTGTCTCCAGGCTCAAAGGAACACTAGAGAAACTGGGGCGAGAGAAAACCTCCATCCCTCACCCAGTGCTAATATGAATTCAGAGTGGGCCAGAGACCTTAACGTTAAGACCTGAAACTGGACAGAATAGGGAAAACATTAGAATTTGCTGGCCTAGACAGGCACTTTCTGTACAGAACTCTAGGAGCTTGACAAATAGGAACGAGGATTGACAGAAGAGATTGCATCAAGCTAAAAAGCTCTGCAGAGAGCAGGATCTCCATCACCAGGCTGGAAAGTCACCCTGCACAAAGCAAAATCTTTTTCTTGCCAGCCCTGTAACTGACAAGGGTTTAAAATTAAACCTCCAAAATCAATAACCCAATTAATAAAGGGGCAAAGGAGCCAAACAGATGTTTCTTAACAGGGGAGTGCAAGTGGCCAATAAATACGTAAAGAAATGCTCATGCCTTTAGCCATGAAGGAGATGCAAGTCGAGAGAACATTGGGATTCAACCTCAGCCCAGTCAGAATGGCCGTCATCAAGAACACACTGAAAACACAATGAACAACAAAGGCTGGCAAGGGTACGGGGAGGAGGAACCACTGTGGGTGAGAAGGAGAATTAGTGCAACCACTATGGAAACCAGTTTGGCAGTTCCCGAGAGACTAAAGCTAGTGCTACGCTATGACCCACAGACCATAGCCATTCTTGGGCATTTATCTTAAGGAACGTTAACTCCGGATATAGCAGCGGTGTGTGCACACCCACATGCACTGCAGCACAACTCTCAATAGCCACGCTGTGGAAACAGCCCTTATGCTCGACACTGATAGATGGAGCCAGAAAAGGTGGAGCATTGTTCAGCCATAAAGAAGAACGAAATGGCATCATTTGCAGGGAAATGGAGGGTCCAGCAATCATACTAAGCAAAATGAGCCAGAAGGACAAACGTCAGATATTCTCTCTCATATGTAGATGTTAGACCTAGATTATAAATACATGTGTAAACATGAATTGCATCATGTGTGTGCACACATATATGTGTGTACACCCATGATCAACCTGACTAAAACATGTTTTTTTTAATTTTTATTTTTTATTGTGAAAATACTGTACAGAGGGGTTACAATTACATGGCAAGATAATGAGTACATTTCTTACCAAGCATTGCAGCCTCCTCCTTTGTTTCCCCTTCCCAGCCTCCCCCTACCCAATCCTCCTCCCCTGACTAAAACATGTTATCTTCAGGTGTGAGATACTGTGAAACCCTTTTGAACAGTAGACAGTATAACAAAAAGAATATTAGGAAGCCAAAACATGTCCAGACTGGGATGTGGGTACCAGTGGGAGGGAAAGACAAATGGAGAGGGGGAGGCAGGAGTGTAGTCAGCAAAAGCCATGGACATGTGTGAAGATGGAATAGGAAAGTGGTCTGGGAAGGGAGGAGGGGGAGGAGAAAAAGAGCAGGACACTCTTACAAAGACTTACTGTATCCATAGGGGACATGTTAACGTGAAATGCCCTTGTGCATCTAATGGATGCTGAGAAAGAAAAAGAAATCAAGGGAGGGAAGAAGAAACTGTGTGGGCAGGAAGGAGGATCCCCGGGGGATGGCACAGTGGGGGTGGAGCCTACCACGGAGTGGGTGGGGCCATGGGGTGAGTATGTCCACACAGAGGACAGAGCCGCAAGCCGGACGGAGCCCGGGCCCCTGAATGAGTACTTGCCAGGCAGCTCCACCAGGAACAGCACAGACACACGACAAGGCCGGGCAGAGTCCCTGCCAGTCACGGTGCTGAGCTGCGAGGTGCATGGACCTGGGGCTCATCTCACCAAGGCCTGCCACCCTACCCCACTGTGCTACGCCCCTGCACCTTGAGCTCCTGAACCCATTCGTGGGCACCGCTGGCAGGGCAGGAAGGCCCACCGTGGCTCTTCCTTCCTTGGGGTGGCAGGCGGGGAGGAGTGTGCGGCCCTGCCCAGGCTGCTGACACCTGGGTCTGCAGTGACCCCCGGGGCTGCAGGCCTCTGAAGAGCACCTGCCGGCAGTGCTCCGTCTCCACCAACACACTGGCAGCTCGTCCAGACCCTGGCACCCATCAAGGTTGGCGTGCACGGGCTTCCACCAGGGCTGAAAGCCCCACTGAGCGGCCGAGGCTGGCCGGGTCGCAGGACTCCGGGGTATGTGCAGCGGAAACTGCCCGGGGGGGCGGGGGGAGAGGAGCACATGCGCACCAGGGAGAGGCCGGACTTCGCAGAACTGGCTCCAGGAAGCCTTCCTGAACCACACCTTCCTCTGCCAGTCCCATGCCACAAGCGGCCTGAATGGACCAACTTCCAGGCACCAGGGTGCGTAGGCAACACTGCACCAATCAGGGGAATAAATGACCCCAGCTCCTTGACCTCTACAGTGTGGCCTGCGGTAAAGCTCTAAACCTCTCTGAGCCTTGGCTTCTCCATTTGTCACAAGAAGGACAGGGGTTAGGTGACGTCAGCCCTTTTTGTTTACTCTCTAGCTTAGCCCCTGTGGCCCCCTCCCATGGCTCTCTCTCTCTCTATCTTTCTAATGGATGATGGGCTGTGTGGGAGGAACTGAGGGAGATTCAAAGGCCGATTCCTTCAGCGTCCTAGCTCCTGTGCTGCTTCTGAGGAATCCCAGGTGAGACTAGGAACTTGCCGGCTGGAGGGCAGGTGAGTTCCGGAGCTTCAAGCACCGGAAGACATCAGGCTCCAGGAATACAGGCCCACTTCCCATTTATTCCTCCACAATTCATTGAGCACCTACTATGTGCTTCCTGGAGGAAGAAGAGTGGGGGGCAAAAGGGGGGGGCTCAGGGCAAGAGGGCCAGGCGTGGGAGGGGCATAAGACGGCCTTGATTGAAGGGAGGGGAGCGGGTGGCACCCCTGTTCTGGGTCTTCAGAATTTCCAGCTCATGGAATGAGTCTGAGAAGTGGAAGAACTGGGTTATGTCATGCGCTAGCTGAGTGTGGTGGGGAACCGGCTCAAAGCCAGTGAGCCGTAACCGTGTTCCCAGCACTGTGCCAGCTACGCCCACTGTCCCTGCAGCCCTTGCTGGAACCCTTGCTGGAGCAGGTGGGGGCTGGGGCCTCCGCAGGCGC